GGCTCTGAGCTGTCAGCACAGAGCCCGACGTGGGGCTCGAACTCACAGACCGTGAGATCATGACCTGAGCCGAAGTCGGATGCTTAACCGACCAAGCCACCCAGGCGCCCCCTTGGTTTTGTCTTTTTACTGTGATGCACCTGGTTATAGTTTTGTTTTCTTTCTCTTTTTTCAACAAGAAAGAAATGGCTTACTCCTGTGGCAGGGCATTTGTAAACATAGGGCTGAAGTCTAGGTCAGGGGGCTCTGTCCAGGGACGGGGCCAGGACGAGAAATGGCTTGTTTTCTGGACTTGCCTGTTCTCCTCCTGCATATCCCCTCTCACCCATTGTCCTTCCTCTCTGGTTGTGGCTTCGTTATTATTATCGTTGTCGTTGTTATTATTATCTTTTTACTCAAGCTTATTTATTTATTTTGAGAGACAGCGAGAGCATGAGCAGGGGAGGGGCAGAGAGACAGGGAAAGAGAATCCCAAGCAGGCTCCGCACTGTCAGTGCAGAGCCCGACGTGGGGTTTGAACTCAGGAATCGAGAGATCATGACCTGAGCTGAAATCAAGAGTTGGACGCTTAACCGACTCAGCCACCCAGGCACCCCTGGTTTGTTTTATATTTATCTTGTTTTGGGGTTTGCTGCTCTTCTTGAGTCTGTAGATTGATGCTTTTCATCAGTTTTGGAAAACGATTGGTCAACATCTTCATTTATTGATTCTGCCCTTCCCCTTCCTCCGTCGATGCCAGTAGTATGTTAGAGCATTTGACTAGGTCCATATGTCTCTTGAAGTTCTTCAAGATTTTCACTCTGCATTTTGCTTGTGGGTGGGACTACAGTTGGTCTGTATGTGTTGACCTCACCCCCGGCAAGGGGAGTGTGGGTGTCCCGGCTGGTCCTGGTCACAGAGGTGACTGGGACACTTCACTCCAGTGGGACCTTGTTGAAGGGTTGTTGTAGATGTCCCTTGTTTGGTTGAGGAAGTTGCATTCTTGGCTTACTAAGAATTAAAAAAAAAA